AAGTTTAGTTTCAGAAACTTTTGCCTGCTGTCAACAACAGCTATTAAGGACTGACATGTCTTTATGTTCAAAGCGTATAAAAAAATAAAAAAAACACCTGTCACACCCTCCTCAGAAGTTCAAAATCAAAGAACCACAGCAATAAAAAAAAATCCAGCTGATCTTGAGAACAACAAAGCTTATGTGTCAAAAACCTTTCCATTCAGTCTTCATCAGGATTACATGATATTCAGTCATATCTAAGATGCCCGAAGCCTAAATTGACCGAACAGGACAAATAGAGACAAGCTGGATGGCAGGCATGCTGAGCTTCACTAAGTGTAAAACAACAGATATAAAGGATGAGTTCATCCCCCTGTGGAAAGTGAAACAGAGTGCTCCTTGAAACACTGAATTACTGAGAGCAGAAGCATCACTAAGAGAGAAGGTGTCAAAAATCATGTAGAAAGCCATTTTAAAGAGGCCAGACAATCGTGTCTGCTTTTACTTTTATTGCTTTTGAGAAGGTGCATCTTGGTCCAGGAGAGGCGATTTAAATTTCATTAGAAAGAGAGAGACACCTTTTGGTTCTTTTTAAAGCCTGAACCCAGGTTTAATAAATGAAGGGCTTGATATTTAAACATATCCTCTAGCTGTTTTAATATGCTACAATGCCAGATTCCTAATTCCAGGTGGTGATAAAATATTTAATGTTTTCAAATACTAGCATCTAAGTGACTATTTTGAATGTCCCTGAGAATCAACTATACATGTAATCTTGTAACTCTCATGAAAGCTCTTGCAGCTAAAACACATTGATCTTTACTCTAAAAGATTTGTTTTGTGGCCCTTAAGAGCGGCACAATGCTTTTTATAACTTCAGGCATTAAGACAAATTTGGAAGATCTCTTGTGAGTGAGCTATATCTCACACTTCCCCAGATGGTCCATGTACGGCGGCCCTGAGAGCTCAACACACTGCAACTTAAGAAAACACATGCAAACAGACAAAGCACAAGCAAATTAAGAAAACATCGCCACAGATTTGACAGCAGAAGCGCAGCATGTAGACAAAGTGCTGCAGAGTGAGAAAACAAATACAGAAACAAGCAGCAGATATGAGAAATATGACCAAATACAGACAACACAACCCAGTGCAGAAATGCTGTACATGTAGCACAGACAACAACAGAAATGTTTTCCAGGGGACGCAAAAAATTCATGAACAAAGTTGAAACACAGGGACATGCTTGCTGTTGCCATGGTGACTCATGAAGTTGAAGTCGACTATTTGTCAGAGGTGTTGGAAAATGAGCAAATGTAAATTTGTGGAAACATTCTGATCACATCATTTAGATAGTATTCTTTATCTGTTGGTAACCTGGCAGCATCTCTGTAGGCTGCTTGTGTTGTTTGCAGTGCTTTTCGGTGCATTTGCTGGTATGGCTTTAAAGTAGTGATAAATCATTGGACTGTAGCGCTATCTCAAGCTGACTACTATGCTCAATAACACAGGTGTCTTAAATATTACAAGCAGTCATTCGAGACTGTCCTCCTGTAAAATACGACAGTGTACATTGTTTGTGCCAGCAGGTTATTATGATGAACTGTTACGTGTTACAATTTGGTGACATCTAGCAACTGTATTAATTATGTCACAAGGAATGGATTCAGTATATAGAGGCACAAAATCAATGTTGGGAGGATGTTTGGGTGGATGGCTAGAACACAGAATGTTCACCCAGGACAGCTGATTTCAATTCTAGTGTGTCGCTTGTGTTTGTTCCTAAACGTGACCAAGAAGCTTCTTTTCCTTAAACATAACTAAAATAGATAAACCTATCTATATAGTTTTTGTAACTAAACCTAACCAGGTAGTTTGTGTGGCAAAACATGATAAAACCATCAGGGGTTCATAATCATAACATCACATTTATGAGTGTTTCCAAGACCACAGAGTTCCATTAGCTTGCTGCTAGCTAGCCTGCCAGCTAGCCATTGTGTTTAAGACTGTTTCCATGATGACAAAGTCCATAAAGCTTGGCAGTGTGACATACATTTTTGTTAATGTTGTCAAAATTGTTGCAATTCCTTGGGTGGCCATAGGAGCACTATTTAATGAGACGTCCCTATGACCCATATGAGAGGGAAGGGACAAACAACTGTAAGGGTCATTTAGGTTGGAGGACTTGTTGAGCCATTCAGTCTGTTTAAATGGAAAAAAGTGCTTATTGTACTTGGGTATGTGTGTGGGTTTGGGGGGGCGAGGGGTATATACAGTATCACTCCCTTAAAGGTGTATGTATATATAGTATATCTTCCATCCAGGCTGACCTCTACTGAAGCTGTCTGCTTCCAACAGAAGGTTCTTACTTCTCCATGTTTAAAAAAAAGCACCACTGATAAGATGCCATAATTAAGGACATCTATGGTGCTTTTACATTTGATGGTAAGATGGAGATGGGGGTTTAAAAGACATTAGGAGGAACCTTTTGCAAGGTGAGAGAGTGCGCTAATGTGCAGGGTGAATCAACTGTATAAACAAGGATGCTGCAACCCACTCGAGCACTGTATACACTGTAATAATGCTGCTCCCAAAAACACACAAACACAAGTCCATTCACTGTCACATTGAATGAAAAGAGCATCACTTTGTGTGTCCTTTAGGCTCAGCCAGGGAGAAAAAAGCTGGAATTTCACCTTCCTTAATGGAAATTGATCAGAGTCATTAGTTTAAACAGTGACAGTGTGACAAATGGCATTTTGAGATGGACACATGCAATGATTGTGTGCACCTGAACCTAAATTGAGCAACCTTGGTATGTAATATGTTGTAGGTCATTAAGCACACTCTCTAAGAGTATTAGGAGCCAAGTGGTGTGCACCTGATTTGAGTGCAGACCCCTGCAATTATAATCTGCTATTATGCTATCAAAGAGTAGCGAGCAGTAATTTCATCACTTTGGCGAGTGAAGACAGTTAAAATGGACAATATCACACTAATCAATCACTTTTACAGTGCATTACTGTGAGAGGGAGCTTTGCCCCATGGAGTGCAGTCTGATATAAATAGCAAATTGGCTTCCTTCATGGCTTTTTTCAGTTTCCATCAGTATTCACTGCATGCGTCCTATGCACTCACCCACCTCATGAACACACATGCTCATTCAGATCAGGCTCAGCGCAATCACATAATGAAATTTTGGTTTATTTCACCCTGGCATATTTCCCATAAATGTGGCTCCTGTGGCTCCATGGGTCATGGAAACCTAGCACTCACCCCCTGTGTTCTTGAGAATCTCATAAATGAGGACTCACTTTTTACAGGATTCATGTAACAGTTCAGTTTATTTACAAAATACCAAGAGGTTCACGCTGGTAAGCTGTACTCTTTCCTTTCCTAAATCTCTACAGCAGATGTGATAAATACAAAGCTAGCACAGCCCACAGAGCCACAATAGCAACATTTATGAAATAAGCTGGAATTATCCTTTAAACTCTACAGCACATTCTCTGCACAGTATAATTTTGCAGGATCGGCATCTATTCAAAAGGCACAAAACTAGATTTGAGGGTGCATTTGATTCTAAACTGAGCTGGTTTCAACCCTTTGAAAAATAACCATATAGTGTATATTTGCTGAGTTACACTTAAGTGTTGAGGGCTTTGACTGAAACATTGACCCATGGCAGAGGAAACATGTTTGCAAGTGCATGAGTCTCCCAAAATGTGTTTGTGTCACATTTCAGAAATTCATTTAAAATGCCCTGGAGGTACCCCGTCCATTATGAACTGTCCTTTAATTACAACAGCCTGCTGCTCATGTACTGTACAAGGAGTTGAACATCAGATAACTGTGACATCTGTCATTTTGATGCAGTGATACAAATATGATGTAAAAACCTACAGCTGCACTAATAAGAGGGAGTATGTATTGCAAAACAATGCTTAAGAAAATGAAATATAAGTATTTCTAGCTATACATATAATGCTACTTTAAAGGACAAAATGTGCCTGTGGTACAATAACTTTGTTATTTATGGCACTTTTATGTCTTATCATTTTTGCATTATTATAGTCTCACACTTGGGATCTGTTATAGCCTATGTGATGTTTTCATTGTATCTTAAATTTTCTTTAATGAGGTACTTTTTTTACAGCTAATTAATTCAGCTCACAGCAGACATATTCCATTTACTCTGAAGGTAAATTCATACCTTCCTCTCCTCACTACATGTCCCAAGTTTCAATATATTCACCATTTCGTACACACGACTGTACAATGCAACTCTGTGCAATATGTGTGATAGTCCTGCAGCCAAATCAATTGGATTTGACAGGATTTGTCAAGTCCACCAGAATTCCTTTCCTCATGACATATCCTTGCAGACAATACACTTGGGGCTGAAAGTGCACAGAAAAAGACACTCAACACACGATATTTTCTTCTTAGAGGTATATTGCAGATGTGTACATTATGATGAAGGATGAGCTGTCTCTGGCTTCTGCAGCTCTGAAAGAATTACCCACTGTTTTTTTTCCTGGTGGGTGGATATTCATGTTTACTTCTTTATACACTTTGCCACTGAAAGCATGAGGTGCTGCCTGAGACATGGTCAAGTTATTTGTGTTGCTGCTTATTATGACTGCATTCAAGACTGAGAAGGATAAGGAAATAAAAAGGGATTCATTAGATCCTGAGCACAGAGCAGTAAACACGTCATACGCCTATAGGGGGTGAATGTGAGTTCTTTTTTTTGTTGTTGTTCGTTACAGTAAGTGCAACAATGACCCGCTGCCACCCTACACCGTCCCCCCCGTCCCTCCCTCCCTTCCTTCCTTCCTCCCTCCCTCCCTCCATACCATTGCAGCATCTTGTTGTGCTGGACCGTGAGCTATTCCCTTCCATCACACCTTTATCAACCCACTACTGTCTTCACCACAGTAAAAGAAACCCCCAGTTTGTCGTACATATGCTTCAAACGCAGCCCAAATGACATCACATTGCTGCAGTGCTGCACTGTCCGTGAAACGTGTCAGTCGTTTCCTCTGGTACCAAGACATTGCCCACTGGCCACTCGCCCCTTTGCTCCAGACATCATGGCGTGACAGCATGTACTCTTTTATATCGGGCTCCTATTACGCAGGTGGGCGCCTGCTCGAGGAGTAGAGGCGCATTTCCAAAGGCTGCTTGTTCTACGGGACACAGCAAGATCTCCTTCCACATCCCGCCCGGAGAAATCGGCCGCATTGCTTTGCTGAAGGAGCGGACAGACCAAGCCGTGCATGAAAACTAAGTGCTCGCATGGGTACGCATAGTATTAGGGGAGAAAGGAAAACAAGACGGCATCAGTGCATTGGTGGGATTCCTTCGCTGGCATTCAGATGGGAAGTTACACCATCAAATGGCTACAGTGATGGCAAACAACTGCCAGTAAAAGAGGCGTGCTGACTGCGCTGTGCTGCTGTAATTACTAGAGACCGGTGTTGGCGGAGAGTTTTCGACCTTCGTGGTTTTTTGACTTGCAGCCTGAATCTGTCGCCAAGCTTAAACCGTCAGAGGCTTTTCCAGCGCAACACATCGCTCCAGAAAGAGCCCCGGACTGCAGTTGTTTGTCCTCGCACCATCTGTACTGCGATTCATAACAAGCGTGAGCTTTATTGGAAACTGAATCCACCGTTTTCCTACGTTACAAACCCGTACACGGGGACTTGAGACGAGCACGTACGCGTTATCCCATGTGAACGCGGCTGGGACGCAAGATGCGCACTCTCCTGAGCTTTTGGATTTTGGGGATTTCAGCTTTACGTTTTCTGCCTTGAAACATCAGTCGGATAGTACTGGGATTTAAGGTGGGGTTTTATCCCTGCGCAGGTAACTGGAAGATATCCTACTGTATCTTGTTCATGACACTTCAGCAGCAGATTGTCGTTCATCACGTCCGTTGGATTTGTCAGCACAACCCCGATCACCTTAATAAGATGGTTTAGGCGTGAATTTGGAATAAATGAACTCCCATTGCCGCCTGCGATTGTTTGCCAATTTACTCGGCGAGACAAAAGTGGACGCTGGAAATCATGTGCAATAGGATCAACCCTTTGGCATCTGCCTTATTAGTCCCACTTTTGGTAAGTCACTTAGTAGACTTGGCGAGCAATGTGCAATTGATTTGGGCACCCCTGACACATGTGTGGATTGACTGGAGCTATGTCTCTGACGAGGGAATCAGTGTGGTGCATCTCTCATCCACAATGATTGTGAGTGTGCAAACTATTAAATGTAGAATAATAGGTCTGCAATATGCTTCACCTCTCTCTCTCTCTTTCTCTCAGATATATACATGCATGTGTGTGTGGGGCTACTTGGATGTTCAGTCCTCACATGGCGGAGCGTTAGTGCTGTTATATGTTACAGTGTGTTAGAGTCCAAAACAGTGCCCTAATACTTTAGCTGTGCAGTGGCTCCAAACAGTGTACTAACACACGAGCTGAATTCCCAGAGACTGAAGTGCATGTGGAAAAAGCCCGGGCGTGTCTGCATCAGCACGACACAGAGACCAAGACTTTTCATAAACCAGCAGCGCTGCAATCCTCCCATCAGGGAGAATGGCACTGGTTGATGCCAGAGTGGATTGTTTTACAGTGGAGCCACAGCCCTTGAATAATGAGAACAACTTATTAGTACCCCTTTGAGTTGGGTTTAAAGGCTGCAGGCTACAGCTAGATGACAGGACGATTGTTTTGTCATGAGATGCGGCCTCAGCAGGATGTGTGCACTGTGTATGTGAGCTAGAGGGCTGCACACATTTTGTTTCTGACCATCAGCTAAGCAGGTTTAGAGATGATAAAGAGATTAAGAAACACTGAGGCAGCATGATAATGCTCTCACGGCTGCTGCAAGTGAGTGCTGTCAATTACATTTGAAGCTGGAATTTTTAGCCTGTCTCATCATTTTCTAGTTGCTTAATAATCTTGACCTCATTAGATTCAACTCAGCATTTGTAGGAAGATTGGTACACTTTAGCTCTTCTTCTTTTGGCATGCAGGCCCAGAGAGGTCAGTGTCTGGTCTCAGGAAATGCTCTTCATTACTTAGAGGACAGGTGGGGGAAGCGTGGAGATAGCGAGGTTGCAAATATATTAGATTGAGGAAGAGTTAGATGTCAGTATTCTTACACTACTGTCAACCAAATATCCTTCATACTGCTTTATCCACATAATTCCTTCAAAGACATCCCCTGGGGAGGATATAAGCATTGGCCAGCTGTGCTGCTACATCAGCCTATGCAGTGAGTGTTACTGCGGGTTACAGTGCTACTGGCAAACACTGACTACCAGCCGCATCTACTGTATACACCCTGCTTTTACTCTGAGTGAGCCGTAGGACTGCATGAATCTTCCTACATGGCAGTGCATCGCCTCTTTACAGCGATGTAAGTGCACAGTCAGATGGAATATGAAAGTTGTCCCAAGGTCTTGGCATGGCTCCATTTTCTGACAGATGCCTCTAATGCATAAGAGCAATAAAAAAGAAAAACTAACTGTAAAGTCATATAAGAATTTTATGGTAAAAACAAACAAAAGCACAAGCAGTTGGTCATGCTATTGTCAAGTGTTTCAGTAAAGGTTGAAACCTGTGTGTGCGAATGGGTGAGTGAATAGAGCAAACTGAAATTATGTTTAGTTAAAGCTGTGCATCATACAGGTTTTAACATAAGGGAGTTGAAAAGACTCCTAGAGGTTAATGAGGTATCTTCCCAGGAGGGTAGATCCCCTTGAGTCTTATTGGATTTGTAATTTAAATTAGCAATGCCTAGAGCAGGGCTCTTATGTATTTAGGAGACTTTTGTGTTGCTTATTGTGTGTTTTGCAATAAATAGTAATGATCGGGTCTTTGGCTTGTCAGTGTGTTGCAGGATGTTACAGCAGAAGCTCAGAGCACTTGCTCATGTATTTTCCTAATGAAATTGGACAGGATGGTCATTACCATTATTATGCAATATTGCCAACATTGCCATGTTTAGCATTGCCACCGCATGCAGGAAGCAACAACACAATAAATTCATATCTCAGCAGGTAATGCATAAAATGAGAGTGACTTTGCAGTGTGTATAGAGGTTTTTGTTTTGCTCTCTGGGTTGCTGTATACAGGCTGTGGGGTGAGATTAATGGGGTCTCTCTGCCTTGCCATTATGTTGCATTGTATTACAGCAGCTGCTGGTGGTGCCAATGCGATGTCATGTGTTAGCATTATGAAATCGGGACCAGTAGAGGGTTATCAGCCACTGTATGAATGAGAAAATAACAGCAAGCACAAGCTATTGATCTGTATTAGGGAGTATGAAAGACTTCATAACAGATTATATAGACCTGTGTGTGTTGTCTATACAAGGCATATTAAAATAGGTGTTTACAGAGACTCATGCTCATAGCTGGGAATTTGCAAAATGCACACATTTTCTCCAAAGATAACTTTTTTTTCAAGTTACTCTATAATTCTGGAAGTCAAAATGGTTTAAGGGACTTTTAACACACATGATTATCAGTCAGTCTCACACACAGTTATGTTCAGTATCATGGTACCATATGGTATTCTGTGCCGGCTCGGAGGTGCAGAGATAGAAGGCTGAACCCAGCACTAAGGAAACGTTTGCTGAAACTGAGAGGAGACACTGATCTTTTCTTTGGCTTCTCCTCTCGTTACTGTTTAATTCTTGCATGCAGAGTCCAGAATTCACATAATTAACAATAGTGCAATTACCACTTCTTTTAAGTTTGCCATGGTTTGCATCATAATGCACTTTGATTCGTTGTTGTTTATTTCCAGACATTGCATAAAAGCAAACAACAGCCCTAGTTATATCAATTAAGTAATCAAGTGACCGAGTGAGATAGATGTTTCTCCCCAGGCAAGTCAAGTTATTTAGTGCTCAAGATGCATGAAAAAAGTTGAAGAAAAGGCGTAATTACAACTAGCCAAAAAGATCAGAGGAGTAGCCACCAAAGCACTGAAGCAATTAAACTAGAGCTATCCTTGCAATTTATTTTTTAAGGTTAGCGAGTAACAAAGTGACAGAAAAACACAGTGGTGCGCTCAAAGCACTGAGCACTGGAGGAAACAGGTAAATAACATGCAGGCCTCAAGAGGCAAAAAACGCTTTCTGCTTCTCAGCTTTGCTGCATCATGAATTTCAATAGGAGCAAAAGATAAGAGCTCTAAAATATTACACTAAGAATACTGCAGTAGTAGACAGAGCTTTAATTCACTTAGGTGAAATACTGTATTTCCTACAGTAGGTATATACAATATTAGATGTTGAAAGAATGTCTTAATTATCAGTAAAAAAATTAATTGACAGTGTGTATGAGAGAGAACCAGAGTAAAATAAACCCATGTACAGTCCAAAGACATGCATGTTAGGTGGTAAATCTGAATTAATTAGTCTTGTGTTTCACTTGTGACATGTCCAGAGTGCACCCTGTCTCTGGCCCAGTGAATGGTGGGAGGGACTGCTGTCCCCTGTGAATGTGTTCAGGACAAGCAGTGTTGCAGTAAGTGCATTGCTCTGTGGCTCATGTCACTATAAATTCCTTACAGTTAGTCGACTGTACTGGCATGCATTTGTTTGCAAATGTTCAGTCAGCACACTGAGGTGAAACAAACCATCCTCAGCTGCAGCCGAATACTTTCCAGAACTTCATAAAAATATAATTTAAAAGTTCAAAACCCAGCGTTGATAGGCGCCATCACTTTCTGCACTTGTTCATGCTTTGATATGTCTTGAGCGCATTCATATTCTGGCTTAGTAAATAAGGGGTGCTGCATGGTTCCTTTTATCTGGGAGGATTTAAGCCCCTAACATCTGAGCAGTACATCTGAATAAAGGAAACTGTCATTTACTGTCACAGAGCGTGAACATGTGCCTGCAGCATGCCTGTTAACTGTGGCTGTGGTGCTGCAGTTTGTTTCCGACAGTGACTGATAAAGCAGGTGTGCACAAGGAGCGCTGAAGCTTAAAGACTGACCTGCTCGGCACTACATGATAAATGTCACATGTAAAATGGAGCAACAGACTGTGACCAGAATGTACAGTGGGAGCTGGTGTTGGGGGCTATTAGAAGGAAACAGTCGAGTCATTTTTAGAGACTAGCTGTCTGAAAGAGGGATAAAGACTGACATAAAGATTTGTATGGAGGTGAGAGGGCTACTACTTTCAGGAATACTGATATTGAACACCCAGCTGAGCCCAGTGGTAAGCAGTCGCCATAATCCAAACACACCATATTCAATGTGTCTAGAGCAGGTGGGGTCCTGATGCAAATATTCAACTGGGAGAACATTTCACCTGCTGTAGTGCATCTGGCTTTTAAACTACAGAGGAGCATCGCATTTGATACCCATGAGATGTACTACATGGTACCAGCCAGTTGCCTGTTCCTTTTGTTGTCTTGGATAAGAAGATGATTGGTGGCATCTGACTCCCCCAAGAACCACAGTTGTGCCGTCATCCTGCCATGTGGCAGCCATAGGTGGTTGCTCCCGACACCATGTGCCAGAGCCTTCATAAGGGCATTTTAGTACAGTGATATGAGATCATGGTGTAAAGGAGAAACAATGGCTGCCTGTAGTACAGTGTAATAGCAAATCTTCTGTGATGTCTTAGCTTCTAGTCCTCTACTGTTTACCTGAAGGTGACATTGATTTAGGTCATGCTTTTAGCAGCTGCATCTGGTCATATTGATCAATATTCTCTACCAGAGCAGCATATCTCTTTGGCTCTCCTGAGAAAGCCAATTAAGAGAGCTCCATGCTCTCATACAGAATTGGAAATGCACACAAACACATCTTCCCCACAGTCCCATTAAATAATGCATAAGAACAATATATTATTGTGCACCGCCTACTATCACAGATTCTCCTAGTTCTAGTAAGACTTTCTTCTCTGAACTAAGAAGCATTGGACAAAATGTAGTACATTTAATGCACTATTTATTCTTGACTGAGGCATTAGGAAAAAGATAATGTCTCCCTGAATTACTCCTACTGAATATGGCACTGTGATGAGGGATCATTCTGTCCTTATGCATTGATTTCTTTGTCAGAAAGTTGTATGGTGTGCTCTTTATCAG